AGGATTACATCCTAGAGAAAACTGTGCACAGGATAAAAGGGAATGAAGGAATGGACTTGCGAGCCCGGCACTCTTCCGAATACCGGTCCCAAATTATTCACTACAAAAAACATCCCTTTGAGAGCCTCAAGAGGTTATGTGGTGAAAACATTTAGGCCATCGTCATCAGTTTCCACTTCTGCCGTTATTGATCGATGAAAGGCAATGTTTAGACATTAAGCTAAGCGGCGTAGGGAGGAATATGTTTTGATCCATTGTTTAAGCGGCGTGGGGAGGAGTAGTTTTCGATCCATTAAAGCGTTGTGGGGAAGAATAGATTTTGATCCATTGTTAACATTACCCGTGACTACCCGTGTGGGTTCCAGGGATACATGTTTCAGAGGGAAAAAAATATGAATAGATCCACTGCCACCTAAAAAGCATGATGTAAAAGGCAACTTATTAGGACTATGCTGAACTGGATGTGATGGGTGAAAGACAGATATCGCAGCTTAGCTGTAAACCACAAGACCGAGAAAAAAAAATGCAGATCATAGATGTAAACCACAAAACAACGTGACAACCACTCTTTTAAGTGCTAAGAGGCTGGACAGTTTGACTACAGGGCATGTAAAATCATTTGTATCACTACTGATTTCAAGTGTACAAGACAGAAGGTTGTGGAATACATGACTACCAACACCACAAACATGAACTACAAGAAGAAGAATGCTGTTGACTTTAAATGTGCATATAAGCATGATCCATTTCATTGATGTGACCACTACTTCTCTCTTCCCTTTCTTCTTTCAGCATTTGCCGTTGAAAGGGTGTCTGGCATGTTTTATTGTGATTTACATGAACACCTTAATTTATTGCTTTTGTGACCTGCTTTTCATTCGTTCATTGTCAATACTAGAAATCAAAAACACTTATCAAGGGAAAATACAAAGAATTGTGAAGAGAACAAATCAACACTAAATATCCACAAGACCCCATCAGCAGACTTAGTAGAAAGCAACACACAACAGTTTTCCATTTACGATCAGGACACTGCAGATTCAACTACAGTATGCATAGAATAAAGACTATACAGTCCCCACTGTGTGCCACAAACACCTGAGCATATTCTGCAGGCCTGCCTACTCTACCTAAAACTTTGAAAAGAAGCCTGACCTCAAGAGCGGAGTGTGCAGAGCAAGCTATGGGAAACCATGAAGGACCTGCAGCCGACCTGCAAGTTCATAGAGGCGACTCACATGATGGTCTGACCTAAGCATATCAAACTGATCACACAGAAAAAGACCTGCTTTTTAAAGGGCTATGGGTCTGTTTTTATTTTCCTCAAAATGGTGCCTCAGAACCAACACAGAGATTCCCATTTTTGAAGACTTAAGGTCCGTTCTTTTCTATTTTCACAAATATTGTGTCAGCGATTTTCTGTACTTTCTTCTTACATGTTGCTTCTGACATGTTATTTATGTTATGACCACTATCTAAGAGACATGCCTGGGTAACCACTAGTTTAAACAGTTGTTTGGCAGAAGATGGTGCTATATTGGACACATCCTGAGATAAAACGAGCAGAGAATCACTAAACAGCCACTGAAATAGCCAAAAAAAGGAATTGAGGAAATGAGAATCTCCAAGGGAAACTCTAAGGTGAAAATTGTTGCGAGATGCCAAAGATGCCGTACTGGATTCCATTTATGAAATTAAAGTGCTTGCACAGGATAGAACAGAGTAAAAGAATAGACCTATGTAACATATAATGGCAACACATGACAGTGAATGAGTGAACTAAGATCCCTAGCATCTCTGCTGTAGATCTCCTAATATGTCCACTGTATAATGAAAACACTGTATAATAGTACACATTCTTGTCGGACACTCTTTTTATAATGCTCTTAAATGTTCCTAGTTATTGAGTCTTTTAGTTGATGCTCTTTATTATTTACAAATCCTTACTGTCAGTGTTAAATCATTCTTCTTCTTCACATTCCCCATCTATAAACTCTGGTGGAAAGTTATGGTTGTTGGTCCACTTCTGGACTTTAGTCTTGTTCCAGACCCTGAGTGTTGCATGTACATCCATTTTACTGATCTGGCTTATTTGCATGCAGACTGCTGGTTCCTTGCCGGTCAGGCAGATGCACTCTGGCTTTGGAGAAAGCCCCCAGTTAGTTTAGTCAACTCTGACAACATGCTTGTTGGGTAAGCAGTGGGTCTGTTGGTGTTTTCTCCCACAACGAGGCCCTGGAACCCACTCGGAGAGAATCATTCTAATAGTTTGATTATGTGTTCAGAATTAGCTACCACTGACACTAATGAAGAAGAAGTGGAAGACGTCCCTGAGCCTGTTGTAATACCAGATTACCAGCCTGAGATGACAGTGGTAAGTATAGAAGTAAAAGTTAAGGACCACTTTCATGCTGCTAGTGCATTAAGCATTTGGTACTGTATTCTTAGAGACCAGTCAACACTTGATAGATGATGTGGTCAATATCAAGTAGGCTGCCTTTACTTCTAGCATAATTTCCTTGTACCCATTTTAGGCTTTTGTAACCTAAGAGCCTCTTTACATAAAATGTTGACATTGGTTTTAAAAATCTGCATCTGTGGGGATTCAAACCCAGGACCTTTTGTCTGGCAGGAAGATATCCAGCCATTGTGCTACCGAGGCTATCTGAGATAAGTAAATACCATTTCCTAAACAGAATACCTGATGATATGGGATGAATTCAAGAATAGTGAAGAAATCGGAAAGGGATGTTTGGGCCACCACTGGTAGCAACAGTTAAAAGACAAAGAAGATAGTGCTACTGGACACATCATGAGAACAAAAACAAGCAGAAAATCACCAAACTTAGTCAATCAATCAGCATGTCCTTTTCAGAATGTCGCTCTCTTCATGGCACACCTGAAAGTCTCTCTTTCTCTAGCCAATTCTCCAGCCCTGTGTGCTTTCATGGCCAATGCATCTAAAGTGTCCTGCATCCACCTTCATGGAGGCCCACCTCTGCCTCATTCTTGGAAACATCACGATAATGGAAATAATGTGCACAAATAAAGACAAATATTGTGACAAAGTCTGTACCAATGCACATGAAAAAAGAACTTATAAACAGCCAAGGTCAACATACACCTAACTTTTCCATTCCACCCATTAAGTTTTAAAGTCACAGTTTATGGTGTAGCTAGTACCTTCTTATATTATTTGTAACAGCAGTCTCAGACTGAATGAATTAACAGTATCTCTTGTGTAGATTTGGGTACCAGATTGTTGTAGAAGCTGTTTGCTTGCATGCTTATCCAAAGGTCTTGGTGTCAAGTCTGCATTGTGTTAGATTTTTATTTTATTTTCAAAAATGGCTTCCACTTCCAAGTCAGCCCCGCCTTAAATGGATATGCAGTAATGTCCTGGGAAGTAAAGACGGTCGGCAAGATGTTGACATCACCCATCACTTGCCTGTTGGTCTCAAAAATTATAAGTCTAGTCTCATATGCCCACCACACCTCTTTCAGGACAAGTGTCCTTTACTTTACCTGCATGGAATGGTTAAGTATGGATAAGCAAAAGTAGATGATGTATGGATAAGCAAAAGTAGATCATGTATGGATAAGCAGAAGTAGATGATGTATGGATAAGCAGAAGTAGATGATGTATGGATAAGCAAAAGTAGATGATGAATGGATGAGCAGAAGTAGATGATGTATGGATGAGCAAAAGTAGATCATGTATGGATGAGCAAAAGTAGATGATGTATGGATGAGCAGAAGTAGATGATGTATGGATAAGCAAAAGTAGATGATGTATGGATAAGCAAAAGTAGATGATGTATGGATGAGCAAAAGTAGATGATGTATGGATGAGCAGAAGTAGATGATGTATGGATGAGCAAAAGTAGATGATGTATGGATGAGCAGAAGTAGATGATGTATGGATGAGCAGAAGTAGATGATGTATGGATGAGCAGAAGTAGATGATGTATGGATGAGCAAAAGTAGATGATGTATGGAGAGCAAAAGTAGATGATGTATGGATGAGCAAAAGTAGATGATGTATGGATAAGCAAAAGTAGATGATGTATGGATGAGCAAAAGTAGATGATGTATGGATGAGCAAAAGTAGATGATGTATGGATGAGCAAAAGTAGATGATGTATGGATGAGCAAAAGTAGATCATGTATGGGTCCACACGCACACAAAAAGACCAAATATAGATTAGAAAAAGCAGATCGTGTATAGATTAGCCATTAGTTGTGTTGAATTGCCTGGTAAGGGTTAAATTAGCAAACAAAACAAACTAGAAATAAGAACACTGTGCTGATCCTGAAGTTTAGTCACTATAAATCCAGTTATGTTAGATTTTTTTCTTTTTTTTCAACTGCTAACCTTACCTCTTAAGACTGCATCAAAGAATGAAAGAGTGGATTTGAAGACAATCTATGAACAAATGAAGACATAAGGTTAAATAAATAACATAACATGTGTAAGAATGTGTGCACCATTAGTTAGGTGTGTTTGCAGCAAGGAGGGATGTATGAGAGGAAGAGAATAATGTGTATATAATCAGTGCTTTGCAGAAATATTATCTATACCTTAAGACATTTGCTGCGGGAGATAGAACATCTATGGCGTGCTCTGTACACTGTGATGTCAATTCTTAAATCAATGAATCATTTTGTATTTATACAATTATTTCGCTTTCTTTCTTTCCCAGTTTGAGATGATCCAAAAGAGAATTATTGTAGCCGGAGTACCACATGCTGCTCTGAACAATGAGCACATTTACATGATTGAGCTGTTTATCACCAAACCTTCCATCCAGCTGTTGGTGGCATACTACAATCAACACTTTGGCTTCTGTGTTAACCATGTAGTGCCGTCGGTTCTTGTGAACCACCTGTGCTATTTCATAAAGAATTCAGGCACCCAGGAAATCACCAGTGAGAATTTTCTGACTCAAGTGCAGTACGGAACCCTCAGAAGCGGCCATATTGAAAGTCTTCTAAGAGTGATGATGGGAATTTACGCTCCCATGTTTTTTGAATATCGCTGGCCTAATAGTATCCTTTTTGTGCACTGAATTTGTGTTTGTATGTGTGATTGGTAGAGATAGTCTGTTCCGAGTTATTTATCACACACTGAATTGGCTATTATTAAAATTGGCTGAAGCTGTAGCAATTACAAGGTACAATCTAATCACATGATATGTAAACAAAAAGATCCCTTGATAATTAAAATAGACAGTCCTGCATTATGTTAACAGAAGGATTACATGGTTAACCTTGAAATTTCCTGGTGACTGTTTATTCTTAGACTTCCATTGGTATGGTGTACAGTGTAACAAGAGACAATGTTAATGTTGTATTGAAAGGTTCCATAGTGCTTCGTTATATTTTGATGTAACTTTTTAGCAATACACCTGAAAAGATACAACAAAATATGCAGATAATAAATTGTGCCATATATTGTTTGTGTTCTCATTATTTAAATTCACAAAGGGAGAATATTGTTTTGAAATCTTTTTTTCTGAAGTGTGTGGTGTTGATGTAGTCTTAGGAGCTGGATGTTAACGTGTTGATGTAGTCTCAGGAGCTGGATATTAATGTGTTGATGTAGTCTCAGGAGCTGGATTTTAATGTGTTGATGTAGTCTCAGGAGCTGGATATTAATGTGTTGATGTAGTCTTAGGAGCTGGATGTTAATGTGTTGATGTAGTCTTAGGAGCTGGATGTTAACGTGTTGATGTAGTCTCAGGAGCTGGATATTAATGTGTTGATGTAGTCTCAGGAGCTGGATATTAATGTGTTGATGTAGTCTTAGGAGCTGGATGTTAATGTGTTGATGTAGTCTTAGGAGCTGGATGTTAACATGTTGATGTAGTCTTAGGAGCTGGATGTTAACATGTTGATGTAGTCTCAGGAGCTGGATGTTAATGTGTTGATGTAGTCTTAGGAGCTGGATTTTAACATGTTGATGTAGTCTTAGGAGCTGGATATTAATGTGTTAGTGTAGTCTCAGGAGCTGAATATTAACATGTTGGTGTAGTCTTAGGAGCTGGATATTAACATGTTGGTGTAGTCTTAGGAGCTGGATATTAACATGTTGGTGTAGTCTCAGGAGCTGGATATTAATGTGTTGGTGTAGTCTTAGGAGCTGGATATTAACATGTTGGTGTAGACTCAGGAGCTGGATATTAACATGTTGGTGTAGTCTTAGGAGCTGGATATTAACATGTTGGTGTAGTCTCAGGAGCTGAATATTAATGTGTTGATGTAGTCTCAGGAGCTGGATATTAACATGTTGGTGTAGTCTTAGGAGCTGGATATTAATGTGTTGGTGTAGTCTCAGGAGCTGGATATTAACATGTTGATGTAGTCTCAGGAGCTGGATATTAATGTGTTAGTGTAGTCTCAGGAGCTGGATATTAACACTTTATTTAAAAAAAAAAAAAATTTTTTTTGACTAAGGCAGCTGGATTTAGATTGACCAAATTACCTATTCTTTAAAAAAAACTTATATTCTAGAAAAAGAAGGCTAGTCAGAGAGACAAATGGAGGCAGATGATATCTGCAGCAATGAACCGCAAAAGCTTGGAATGCTGAGGAAGAAGAAATTACATATTTACTCTTACTGACCAGAGCCTTTAAAGAGAACAAATAACAGAAAGACTATAAACTACCATTGAAAATCTTAACTCTTTCATGACAGCAGTTGTTCTGAGGTTTGGACAGAATTAATGTTGAGCTGATTGTTTTGTTTACTGCAATATGACAAAGCTAAAACCTTCCTGAAGAAGAGAAGTATTCGCTGTATAGAATCATAAAGTATATTAAATTAAAGATAAATTCATACAGAATACATATTTACTATTTAAAGATCAGTATTGCAATAATAAAATATTAAAATGACACCACATTCAAGGATGTTAGACACACATACAGATTTTTGACACACAAAGTCTTGTACCTATTTTACTGTTTTTACTTGATCACTAAAACTGAACTCTGCCATATATTTCTAAGAATTCACATACCTTTATTCAATAATGCAACAGTTAGTCTTTATTTGAGACAGTTACTCTAAATTAAGACTGATTATTTGACTATTTTTGTGTGACATATCAAATTTCAGAATAACCACACACACAAAAATGCACACAAATATATCGCATATTAAAACAACTCTAGATTTTTTTCTTCTAGCTTTGACGACATACTTTGTTTTGCTAACTCTGATATGTCAGAACAAGCTCATATAAATTCATTTTCCTAGTAAATAAAGCAAAATTATTTTAGCAGCCACTCAAGTGGTGATATTTAAATATAACAGATGAAGCCGCAACTTGAGTGGCGAAATGTCAAAAAGGAGTTCGGAGGTGACTCAGTAGGGTTGGTGTGGGACTGGCTACCTTATAGCGTAACAACATTGATGGCAAAATATAGCCAGCCATAATCAGGTCAATAGAACAAGAAATCAAGTCAGAAGTCAGCTTGTGTATTGAATTGTAGCCAAACTTCAGAGCCAATGGTCAGCCCATAGTTGCTCCTTCCTTGTACCAGTAAACACCACACAGAATGCCCATACTGTCCCTTTAAAGATAGGATACATCAGTGTGTAACCCTTGACAAATAAAGTTTGTTGGATACATCAGTGTGTAACCCTTGACAAATAAAGTTTGTTGGATACATAAATATGTAACCTTTGACAAATAAAGTCTGTTGGATACATCAGTATGTAACCCTTGACAAATAAAGTTTGTTCATTCATTGGTTTGTTTAAAGAATCACATCTCTTCAGCTTTTACAAAATGTATTTTTCAAATCCATTTAGCTGGGTGTCCATGATTCACTAGCTTGAAAAGTTTAGTGGCAAAACGCAGCCAAGCGTACTGAGGTATAGGCATGAGTGATTGAAGGCTCCATTGTGAAATGAAAAGCAGGAGAAAAAGAAATGTTGAGAAAACATAACAGTTCAGGCTTAATAGTTGGAATGAAAAGTCTCTGAGGATATTGTTTTGGGGTATGCATCCTAGGTAGCAGAAGAAGATCACATGTAAATTCCCTTTTAGTTTTTATTTGATTGTTGCTGTTTTCCTAAACACTATCCAGTCATCAAGAATGATTTTTCTCTTCACTTGCACCGATTTTTGGCCAGTTTGACTGACACTCGCTGGAAACTGCAGAACAAAACTGTCTTGTATGTCACCAAAGAGGGGATGAAGATTCCTGAAGCTGAGGCTGCCAAGAACAAGGAATTGGTTAAGCGTTTAGAGAGTAAGATTTGTCTTCTTTCTCGGAGTCCTTTGTCAAGTCAGTGACAATAAAATAATGACCTTTATCTACACTTTGTGGAGGTGCACTAAAGTCCTTATACTTTGCTTGTGGGAGCTGTGTAGCACATTGGCTAGATGCTTGCCTGCCAGCCTGAAAGTCATGAGTTCAAATCCAAATTGAAGTGGATTTGTTCAGCTGCCTATGGCTTCCAAGTCGACTGAGCCCAAAACGGGTACCAAGAAATGTCCTGGAAAGTAAATCGACTGGCAAGATGTAATGCACATCAACAGGTTTGCCCGGTGCAGTCCTGGAGTACATGCTCTGCTGTCTGGGGCACCTTTCCACAGGTGCACATGGCTGATACGCCTGTCTTGAATTTTGTGGTTACGTAATCGATTGTGCCCTGTTCTGCGGGGGAGGATAATGACTTGTTCTGATCTGTCCATAATAAAATAGTTGTCTTGTACTGGGGCTGGTGGTTTCCTGATTGATCTAATGATTCTTTTCTTTTGGTTGTATGTGACTGGTACATTCGTCTGCACTTTTGTCACAGTTGATCAGCTTTCTAATTTCCAGGCACTCCACAATGTGATGGTATCCACTGCATTACAACTTTTTGCTGAAGGCTAAGTTGTGTTAGCAGTGTTTGCAATTCTGGTAGTTTCCTAGACTGGAGTGCTTCAAGTACTGATTTTGCATTTGTCAGCATTACCACATACTGTGAGCCAAGGTTGGTATTTAGCAGTTTCTCTGTTGCTATCTTGATAGCCTGAGTTTCTGCGTCATAGTTATGGCAGTACTTTCTGGTTGGTACGCTGGACTTATCTCTAGTACCATCTGGGAATTCTATGTACACTCCAGCACCACCATTTCTAACTGCACTTTCTGCGGACCCATCTGTATAGACTCTGACCCATTGTTCTTGTGGGTATTCTTCATCAATATAACTGAGGGTGGCCATTCTGCGTTGTACACTATCTTGTTCTTTCTTGTCAAATATTCCTTTCACATTTGTCTTGATTTTTATTTCTCTCACCATGGGGTTTGTTCTGGAATACTGTTAAGTGGACAACCAATTACTGAAAGGTCAGCAGTTTGTCTACATATTCTTTTAGCTTGATGTATAAAGCTGCTTCTTTTTAACCGTCCCAAGGCTAGGTTCTGAAATCTATTTTTCATGGGGTGATCTGGCATACTAAAGAACTTCCCAGCTTTCTCCATTTCTAATATGAGGGTTGATTTCATCCCTCTTGTAATGACTCTGAGTGCTTGATTTTGCACTTTTTCCAACTTCTTTAATGTGGTACTAGATGCTGAACACCATGCAGTTGACCCATATTCCAAGTGTGGTTGTATGCTCTGTTTGTATACTTTATTGAGTATTTTCCCACTGGCTCCCCATGTGGTTCCACTTAGTTTTCTTAGTATGGCTGTCTTCCTCCTGGCTTTGGTTGCTACTCTGTTGATATGTTTTCTCCATGTCAACCTGTCATCAAATGTGACTCCGAGGTGAGTGGGCTCTTTATCATCTCTAAGGGGTATTCCGTTTATTTTTATGATGCCCGCTTTTTGCTTTGGGGAGAGAGTGAAGAGTGTGGTGCTACATTTGTCTGTATTGATGCTGACACACCATCTATTCGCCCATGCCTCAAGTGCATATGTAGCCCGCTGTAGTGTTCTTGTGGCTGTCGTTGCATGTTCATCGGTGCACCACAGTACCAGGTCGTCTGCATACATTGCCATTTTGATTCCATTTGGTATTTCAGCAACCAGGTCGTTGATGAATAAGAGGAAAAGTGTGGGCGACGGGAAACCACCTTGAGGGATGCCATGTCGCAGTAGAACTTTTTTACTTTTGAAACCATCTACCTGTACCCTGGCTCTTCTGTTATGTAGATATGCTTTAATCTAATTGTACATTCTTCCATTTACTTTATAGTTTCTCAATTTCTTCAAAAGCCCCTCCTTCCAAACCTTGTCAAAAGCTTTCCTTAAATCTATCCATGTTTCTTATCTTGAAAAGCATCCTCTATTTCTTAGGAGAGGTATGTTGTCTGGTCTTCCGTAGAGTAGAACTTTCTAAAGCCCGCCTGCTGTGGTGTAATGATTTCACTTTCAATGTACCATTGTAGTCGGAGTTTAGTTATGCGCTCCATTGTTTTGCAGAGACAGCTTGTGAGGCTGATCGGTCTGTAGTTGGAGGCTTTGGAACTGTTTTTCCCAGGCTTTATGAGGGGTATCATAATTGCCTCTCTCCAGATCTGTGGAACATTTCCTGTTGCCCAGCAAGCATTAAATATCTGTAAAAGCATGGTTTTGGCCACTGTTCCTGGTGATAGTCACATGGATGTTTTGTCTGGACCATTTAGGTGTGTTTGGGAGTGATCAGGCAGATAGGCAAGCTGGACTGGCCCCACCTGGAGATGTATTGTAAGTGCACAAGGCAGAGATAATGTTTAACCTGTGGACAAGGTAACAGATGAAATGGCAGATATTGAAAACATGTACCTGGGGAGAATGATGCAGCAAGGTGTGGCTGTGGCCTCTTGGCGCCACTTGAGACTCAGAAGGAAGACAAGACGAGAAGTTAACTAGATGACAACAGGTACCATCAGTATCGAAATTCTTTGCTGTTCGTTGAGGAGGGAGGTGGAGCTAATATAGGCTAGTCCTGAATGCTGTGATGTCGAATCTCTACTCAGATGAACCTGGACAATTATTAGTTACTAGGCTGTTCAAGCTATTTGCAACATTGTTTTTCTTCAGAAATCAAATCTCCACTTTCTTTCTTCAAGCAATTTTTAATTTATGTTTAAATGAAGCAAAAGTTTATGAAATGCCTCACAGGGGAAAGAATTAAGAATACTTGCTTTAGTTTTTAGGTGTGTTTTCACAGTTTCTTGCTGTTGCAGCGTAACCCAGAATGTGGGGGAGTGATGGACGCACCGTCCTGTTTTTAGTCTAGACAAAATCCAAACAGGGTGACGTCAAAACAGAGTTCTCAGCACCGACTGTGGAGAAGCAAGAAAACTTGATAAGTGTAAAAATAAAGAAATTTATTATCCCAGACTGAAATAAAAAGAACAAATATTACAACTCCTCAAAGAATTCAAACATCTATGTGTTACATAGCTTACCAGCAAAAACACATATTATCAAACACCATATAATCCTAAACTTATACATACCAGTTAAATCAAAACCATACACTGTTCCTATACACTATCAAACAAAATTTGAAAATGACAAAGTAATTAGCGTAGCTGAAAACGAAAGAAACAGGAAACAACCCTTCTAACCCCCCCCCCTCCCCCCACCCACCCTTTTACACCCCCCCCCCCCCCCTTACATCCCCCCCCCCCCCCCCCAATAAAAAAAACTAGAAATGAAACATGAAAGACACTAAAAAATTGTTAGAAATTTCCAACTAGGTCCTGACTTTGATGTGTGGATAAGGATAAACACATTTTAACTACTACATGACATCATGATAAGCTGAATCGCACATACTTTTTAAAAAACATTTCACATTTGAACCATTCAGAATGCTAGAGACTATCACAAAAGATCAAACTTTGATCACATCAGAGGCTGACTGTTACATTTTAATCTTAATAAACATGGAATTCGTAAAAAATACGAACTGTTGACACAAAGTTTATTGTGACTCATGTTGAAAACAGAAGAAGAATAGTAAATCTGCTAAGGCAAAGGAGTCATTATTTCTTCATGATACCAGTCCAGGATGTTCTACCAAAGTAGCACTTCTACATGAAATATTTTATGTTAGAAGCCAACTGAGGTATTTGAGTACCTACCTGACAGCAGAAGGAAGATTAAAAGTGTTTAAATATTAGAGGATCAACTTTGGGCTACCGGTTGTTATCCCATATGGCTTGGTCTATTTTTGAGATTGTAGCACAAAGCACAAACTTCGTACATCCAGCAGCAGCCTTAGGGATCTCTGAATGTTCATATGCCTGCATTGTTGAACTAAAGAATGGAGTCCAAAGTCCAGTCATCAGCCTTTGGTGCACAAGGCAAACAGCTTAACCATTTTGCTACTCTCAAAATATACTGTTATAGTATGTAAAAGCTGTTTACCGCTGTCATCCTTCTTCTTCTTGTACTTCTCTTCTTCTTCTTCTTCTTCTTCTTCTTCTTCTTCTTCTTCTTCTTCTTCTTCTTCTTCTTCTTCTTCTTCTTCTTCTTCTTCTTCTCCTTCTTCTTCTTCTTCTTAGCTGTAAATTTGGCTGTAATTTCTGGTGGCAAGTTATCGTTGTTCGTCTACTTCATAACTTGGGACTTGTCCCCTAACTTGAGTTTTGCATGCGCATCCATTTTATTTGACAGATTTGGCTTGTTTAAATGCACACTCCAACTTTTAAGGAAACATTTCTAACCTAATTAGTTGCCTTTTACAACATGCTTTGGGGGAAAGGGGGCAGTGGGTCTAATGTCACACTGCCCCTCCCCCTTTTCCTTAATCCCAAATGGAGCCCACAAACTCACATAGAGCTGTCATCCAGTGAAAAGTATATGGTGCTATTGATCTTTTTCATTATACATGTGTGTTATCACAAGAACTTTGCTTGTGTATGTCAGATTTAATTCTCATTAGGTAACCACAATAACTCAGAACGGTATTAAAAATGGTTCTTTGATTCGTTTAAAAAAATTTTTTAAATTATTATTTATCTGATGTTAGATAGCATGTATTGTGTTTATTTGATATTGGTAATCTCATTCAATGTTACTGACAGAAGAAAGTCTAGGGTTATTCAAAGACCACTGCAACTTTTAAATATGTGTTAGGTCTCTATGCAAGTGCTTAGAACAGCACAGCAGACAGAACATCTGTACCTGGCATGACTGATATATTGAGGGATAAGCACTCAGTGTGAAGGGGTAAAGATAGGCATACAGATTGCCATTGGCACCATCTTCATTGATGAAGAAGAAGGTAAGATGGAGATGGGCTTGGTCCGACGACAGTGGTTGGGGTCTCTGAGGTCGACAGGGTTGGCAAAGGTCGGTTTGGTAAGCATGCAAGGAAATGAGCTAGCTGATAGTCTTGCAGATCGGCTACTGTGGAAAGTGAACGAGCCATGGACCAGGCTGATATACTGAATGCTCTAAGAGAAATAAGATGTTTTCAAGAACCAAGTGATGACTGAATCTGCAACTGTGACCAGACTGCAAGAACGTTAAAAGGGGTGTGGCCATTACATGCTGAGGGATTTACTGAGGAGGGGATCCGAGCATTTATGGACTGAGTGGTTTGATATGTAGTGAGGGTAATCTTCTGATTAACCAGCTAACTATGCAGTAGAGGGTGGACAAATATAAGGGAATCTCCTAAATGCAATGATGCCAATTCTCTACTTATTTATTCATTCATTCGTATAATTTATTTAGTCATACACTTGTTTATGGGATTCGCCGTGGCTTAGCGGCTAGAAGCTCGCGTGCAGATGGAAATGTGAGTTCGCTCCCTGGCGGAGCTGGACTTTTGTCAAAAATGACCTTGACTCCCAGGTCGACCCAGCCTTGAGTGGGTACCAGATGCAATCTTGGGAAGTAAAGGCGGCCGGCGTGATGCTGACCACATCACCCATCATGTGCCAATTGGTCTATAGAAAAATAGGTTTAGCCCTATACGCCTGAAGGTGTGGAAAAGGGACCTTTACTTTTACCTTTTTACACTTGCTCATGTGCACACATTGTAACAACCTGTCTGCAGTATCTGTGATTCACTGGGCAAGACAGATCAAGGATGTGTTGGCCATTCAGGACGCATTAGAGGTGGCTGAAAACTCTGGCCCATTGGATGAGATAAAGTTTTGGAGAAACCGCTGTGCTGATATGTCTGGCATCACTGAGCAGCTGGAGCAAGAGGGTGTGAAGCACATCACTCGTGTCTTGGAGTTAGCCAAGTCTTCTTACGTGGCTCCTTTTGTCAAGCTGTCTGGACAGATTAAGGTGCGCTCCATTTTTTATTGTGTTTTGTGTCCCATTGTTGTTCTGCTGATGAAGGATCATCACTGCAACATCCTTTGTTTGTCTAGATAGATAGATAGATAGATAGATAGATAGATAGATAGATAGATAGATAGATAGATAGATAGATAGATAGATAGATAGATAGATAGATAGATAGATAGATAGATAGATAGGTAGGTAGGTAGGTAGGTAGGTAGGTAGGTAGGTAGGTAGGTAGGTAGGTAGATAGATAGATAGATAGATAGAATGATAGATAGATAGAATGATAGATAGATAAAATGATAGATAGATAAAATGATAGATAGATATATAGATAGATAGATAGATAGATAGATAGATAGATAGATAGATAGATAGATAGATAGATAGATAGATAGATAGATAGATAGATAGATAGATAGATAGATAGATAGATAGATAGATAGATAGATAGATAGATAGATAGATAGATAGATAGATAGATAGGTAGGTACGTAGGTAGGTAGGTATATAGAATGAGGCCATGAGACTCATACTCGGCTGCACAAAAGACACCTCCTGCAACGCCATGCGTTATATCCTGGGTCTGCCGACTATGACAAGCAGATACAAAGTGGCACAGGTCAAGGCTTACATGAGGGTATCAGCAGATGTTAACCACCCATTACACAAAGCTATTCACGACACAAAAGGAACGCGTCTCAAAAGGGGCCGCTCTTGGATGGAAAAGGCTGAGGACTTAATCCAGCAGGTATGTGACCTAGACGTGATCAGCCACGGAAAAGAATGGACGAATACACCAGTGGACATGCATGGCATCTCTAAAGTTGTCATCACACTCGGAAGGTACTGCAGGGATCAAATTCCTGCGGCGGTAGACACAGAAGTAAGGGAACTGATAGATCAGCATTCAGACCCAGAAGATACCATCATCTACACAGATGGATCCGTGAAGCGCGGATCAAGGTCAGCATGGGCATACACAGCGCAAAGAAAGGGGAAAACAATACATGAGGACAGCGGCGCTTACCAGACAACCACGTCAAGCATGACAATGGAAATAGCCGCTGCTTCTAGAGCTTTAGCCTGGGTATCCGAGCAAACCGCCACACAGGTAGTAATTGTCTCAGACTCAATGAATATGCTTCAGAAGATAGCAACAGGCAGTATGCGCTCTGAATGGATAGAAAGCATTAGGAAATCGCACTTAACCTCCGTAACCTGGATCTACACACCGGGTCATGCGGGCGTGAAGGGAAATGAGCGAGCAGACCAACTGGCAAGCACTGCACTAATGATTGCGGGAAAAAGTATGGACAGAGCAGACATAGTCAACGCTGTACGGACTTGGCTAGTGGAGAATGAGGAATCCCTGACACTAACACGATTGCGTGACATGGGAGTTAAGCATGGTGATGCACGTCTTTGCCGTCTTCGAGGCCGAGAAAGGAGACAATATAACCAGCTTCTCATGGGGACAATTAGTAGAAGTACTTTAGAGTGGCTGCTGCTTCGGAGAACTGAGCACGCATGGGTATGCCCAATGTGCAGTGACATTGATTGTGATAACAGAACATAAAATAACATCTTAGTACGGAGTCGGCAGTACGAAACCCAAGTTCAAGGTGTCTCCTTCGTGCCAAAGAACTGCATGGCTGTTGGGTGAACAGTCGTTAACGATTGCAGGCAGGTCGTTGTAGGGGCGACGCCTGCTGGTGGATGTAATGTCCTAAGTCCCTTCCCCAGCTAATAATGAGGGTACTGCTGGGGTGACCGTTTATTAACCCTCATATAATTTTTCCGCTCAAAATGGACGCTAGGTACGGCCACCCTTTTTTTTTTTTTTTTTTTTTTTATTTTTTAAAGCCGTGGCAAATATATTTTTTTTTTTTTGCCAGACGGTGGCCGTTGCATTTTTGCTCCATTTGTAGACTGGAAGGATGTAGTTTCGTCGCCCAGCTTCTGAGTTGAGTGCATGGCATGACACTGTGAGCTGCGTTTTTTTTCGTTGGCACAGGAGCGGAGCATATGTGGGGTGACCCGTTTGCTATGAAGCTGAAACTATGATTACCAGATTACCAGTATATAGATAGAGAGATAGAGGAGAGAGAGAGAGAATAGATATCTACGCACACACAGACACACATTTGTGTAACTCTGCGTATTTTATAATTTGTTGCTACAGACACTTCTGCATACACATGCTCATAAACACCCATATTTCCCAACCATTTACTCAAGATATTTTCCCGTTTTCCTCCCTAGGTTGGAACACAGCAAGCCGAGAGCAACTTGAAATTCATGAACTTGCTGGAGGAGCCTTGCATGAAGCTGGCAAATGCTAAAGTTAGTGAAATACCCAGCATGCTTCCAGAAATACTGAAACTCATTCGAATCATCTGGGTCAATTCAGATTTCTACAACACTAGGGAGAAGCTAACAGCAATTTTGAAAAAGGTGCGCTTTTATGTCTTATTCTGGGTTCTTTAAGCGGTTTTGCAAGTTAACATTATTCCTATTCTTATAGTCTGTGCCTTATGGCATTGTTAGTCATGTCTTTTCACAACTTTGTAAATTACTATTCTTCTTATTCTTAAAGTCTGTGCCTTATGGCATTTTTAGTCATGTCTGTTCACAGCTTTAAAAATTAACATTCCTCTTATTCTTATGGTCTGTGCCTTATGACATTGTTAGTCATGTCTATTCACAACTTTGAAAATTAACATTCCTCTTATTCTTATAGTCTCTGCCTTATGGCATTGTTAGTCATGTCTGTTCAGACCCTTCTTTCTTGTGTACTTTCAGTCATTTCTGACACCGGTGATCTTGTATGTCAATGTGTCAGACTGTCTAGCATCGTCTCTCTCTTTTGTTCTCCCTCTGCCTCTTTTCCCTTCTAACCTTACCACCAATATGTTCTTGTTTTTGGCTTCTCATGTGGGCAATCACTTCTCTTTGTGTGTTATTTTCTTCAATACAGCTTCATTTTTGTGTGTGTTATCTGTCCTTAGTGCTCCGCCATTGGCTTGTCAAAAATTGCCTGTTGATTGATTTTACTATAGTCGGTTCCATACGTTGCTCAGTAACCCTTCAATGTAATTTGTTTAAATTTGGCATGCAGTTTGTTAATAATCATATCATTATAAGGTTGTATTTGTAATTTAAACAAACATCTAGTTTTTATTGTGCCTTATTTGCAGTATATGGAAAAAAATACACCGATTTCAAAGCAAACAAATAGCATGCCTACAGTAACTTGAGTAAGTTGGGGAAAGGGAACTTTTGAAAACACAAAATTGTATGCATTTAATTGGCGTTTCACTCTCGGGTAGCCATCTATGGCATTAGTTTCCCATGTGTTGCAGATTTTTCATTAAGTGGGGAATATGCTGCCAAAATAATTGTTACGCTTTGCTGCACATGAGACGCAATTTCAACACATGTGTATATTCTCTTTTCTAGGTTTACAAAAATTATTATTCAAAGAAAGATCAAGGAAGTGTCTGCATTAAAAAACACCCAGCAGCAGCTGTGCAATTGTAAATTATAGACTCATAAGGACATGGCAACCCACTTGTGTCCCACGAGAGTGTGAAGCCTAGGTCCCACATGATGTTGGATCACGTCCCAGGAGAGTGTGCAGCCTAGGTCCCACTTGATGTTGGATTACATCCCACAAGAGTGTGCAGCCTAGGTTCCACTTGATGTGATATCATGTCCCACGAGAGTGTGTAGCCTAGGTCCCACTTGATGTGGGACTACATCCAACGAAAGTATGCAGCCTAGGTCCAACTTGATGTTGGATTACGTCCCACAAGACTGTGCAGCCTAGGTCCAACATTAACTGAAGAAGAAGAATAAGTACAGTGATATATCTTGTCATCAATAGATCTTTTCTACATCCCACAAGAGTGTGCAGCCCAGGTCCTACTTGATGTTGGATCACATCCCACAAGTGTGTGCAGCCCAGGTCCTACTTGATGTTGGATCACATCCCACAAGAGTGTGCAGCCTAGGTCCCACATGATATTAGATCATGTCCCACGAGAGTCTGCAGCCTAGGTCCCACTTGATATTGGATTACGTCCCACGAGAGTGTGCAGCCTAGGTCCCACATGATGTTGGATCATGTCCCACAAGAGTGTGCAGCCTAGGTCCCACTTGATGTGAGATCATGTCCCATGAGAGTGTGCAGCCTAGGTCCCACTTGATGTGAGATCATGTCCCACGAGAGTGTGCAGCCTGGGTTCCACATGATGTTGGATCATGTCCCACGAGAGTGTGCAGCCTAGGTCCCACATGATGTTGGATCATGTCCCATGAGAGTGTGCAGCCTAGGTCCCACTTGATGTGAGAACATGTCCCACGAGAGTGTGCAGCCTAGGTCCTACATGATGTTGGATCATGTCCCATGAGAGTGTGCAGCCTAGGTCCCACTTGATGTTAGATCATGTCCCATGAGAGTGTGCAGCCTAGGTCCCACATGATGTAGGATCATGTCTCATGAGAGTGTTCAGCCTAGGTCCCTCTTGATGTGAGATCATGTCCCACGAGAGTGTGCAGCCTAGGTCCCAATTGATGTGAGATCATGTCCCACGAAAGTGTGCAGCCAAGGTCCCACATGATGTTGGATCATGTCCCATGAGAGTGTGCAGCCTAGGTGCCACTTGATGTTAGAGCATGTCCCACGAGAGTGTGCAGCCTAGGTCCCACATGATGTTGGATTATGTCCCATGGGAGTGTGCAGCCTAGGTCCCACTTGATGTGAGATCATGTCCCACGAGAGTGTGCAGCCTAGGTCTCACATGATGTTGGATCATGTCCCATGAGAGTGTGCAGCCTAGGTCCCACTTGATGTTAGATCATGTCCCATGAGAGTGTGCAGCCTAGGTCCCACTTGATGTTAGATCATGTCCCCTGAGAGTGTGCAGCCTAGGTCCCACTTGATGTTAGATCATGTCCCCTAAAAGTGTGCAGCCTAGGTCCCACTTGATGTTAGATCATGTCCCCTGAGAGGGTGCAGCCTAGGTCCCATTTGATGTGAGATCATGTCCCATGAGAGTGTGCAGCCTAGGTTCCACATGATGTTGGATCATGTCCCATGAGAGTGTGCAGCCTAGGTGCCACTTGATGCTAGATCATGTCCCACGAGAGTGTGCAGCCTAGGTCCCACATGATGTTGGATCATGTCCCATGAGAGTGTGCAGCCTAGGTCCCACATGATGTTGGATCATGTCCCATGAGAGTGTGCAGCCTAGGTCCCACATGATGTTAGATCATGTCTTATGAGAGTGTGCAGCCTAGGTCCCACTTGATGTTAGATCATGTCCCCTGAGAGGGTGCAGCCTGGGTCCCACTTGATGTGAGATCGTGTCCCATGAGAGTGTGCAGCCTAGGTTCCACATGATGTTGGATCATGTCCCATGAGAGTGTGCAGCCTAGGTGCCCCTTGATGCTAGATCATGTCCCACGAGAGTGTGCAGCCTAGGTCCCACATGATGTTGGATCATGTCCCATGAGAGTGTGCAGCCTAGGTCCCACATGATGTTGGATCATGTCCCATGAGAGTGTGCAGCCTAGGTCCCACTTGATGTGAGATCATATGCCACAAGAGTGTGCAGCCTAGGTCCCACATGATGTTGGATCATGTCCCATGAGAGTGTGCAGCCTAGGTCCCACTTGATGTTGGATTACGACAGCTAGGTATGAAAATCCATAAAGGAAAGGTAAAATATAATGAGAATAAATCAGGCAAATAGTAATGTGACATGGTGTTGTACAGCTGTTTGTGCAGTAGTGTAGATAAAGACGAGGTAACTGATTGAGGTAATAAAATAAGAATAAAATTCTAGAGGAGTTTTCATAGCAGTAGGGAATTTGTGGAGGTAAAAAAAAATTGAAAGAAATACTGAACTTTAAATTTTTTATTTAAATGTCAAACCAATACTGTTGTATGGAGCAGAAACATTTAGAACAACTAAGGCAAATACTTGTGAACTACAAGAATTCATTAATTAGTACTTGCACAGAATAGTGGAAATTCAATGGTATGATAGAATCACTGGGGTAGAGCTTTGGGGGAGAACTAAGCAAGTTCCAATGGACCAAGAGGTGAAGAAAAGACGCTGACGTTAGAAAGGACACACTTTGAGAGACCGAAGAACAATGTAACTAGTCTTTGCACTGGAGCCCAAAGGGGCATTGGAATAAAGGAATACCAAAAAACACATGGAGAAGGGAGCTAGAGAGTCAAGTTAAAAAGATGGGAGGACATGAGGATAGCTACATGCAATAGCAAAGGAAAGAAAGACTTAGCGTGAGTTTGTCGAGGGCCTATGCTTCATTAGGGATTAGAAAGGTAAAAGAAAAGTCTACCCTCATAAAGTTTTCTTTCCAACTTCCTGTAGGCTTGAGATAATAATTTCTAATTTTAGGTAACAAGTGTAGAATTTAGTTAAATAGAGTTAATGTATCCGAATGTAAATAGTGGTTGCTAGGGAGGATTATCTGAAAATGGGGCACCTAAAGATGCATATGAGTCATAAAATAATAACATTATTATTTTTAATAACTTATCCGGTTAGTAAATAAATGCCTGTAGTTTCCAAATAACCACTTTAGAAAAATGTAAATTTTGAAACATTTTCATAATTTTTTGAGAGGGGTTCTAACTTAACGATGTGCTTGTTAAGATGCATTGTGTCTTTCACCCCCACCACTGCCCCAGTTGGATCCTGAACCCATGTACAGATGATTCCATTCTACAGGGAAGGTTTTTATTGTTGTCATCATCATGTGCCCTGCCAACTGGCGTAGGTGCTCATGCATCTCCACAGATCACAATCTGGAACAGCTCTATTGATGATATACCTCCATGCCATAATTTCAGCCCATCCAGCATCATCTCTCTTGGTCTGCCTCTACCCCTTTTTCCACTGCTCTTTCCAGTTGTCACAATATTCTCCAATCTCTCTCTTCTCATTATGTGGCCAAAGAACAATGTTTGTCTCTTTCTTATTGTTGTATATAGAGATCTACTTTCATTAGCCTCTTTAAGGCAATCATTGTTAGTTAACTGGCCATCCAAGATATTTGTAACATTCTTCTCAGAAACTACATATCTGTTGCTTCTAAATTCTTCTTAATTTGTTCACTGATATTCCAAGATTCCCTGCCATTCAGCAGAACAGGTTCTATGGTTCTATGTAAAATTTTAGCACCCTCTTTCTGACGTTAAATGAGAGCGATTTATTGCATATTTTTCATTTTCTGAAATGAAAATTTCAACTGTTGTAAATAGTATAAATATAACCTACCCCTTTAACATTAAATTTGCTGGTAGGTCAGCAGACTGTCAAATCAGAAAGACTGCTCTAAACTATGGTATGTGAGATGAGAGCCAGTGGGCAGGTGCCATAACCTATGTTCTCCTTCATCTCTCATTTCATTAATTGTTTGCCATATTTTTTTGCAGTTGAGCAATGAAATTATCCGCCGCTGCTGTGCAGAAATTGACTTGGACAAAATATTTGATGGGTATGTGCAGAGTGGAAGAAAAACACTTCTGAATTGCATCGACTGCTGTGAACAGTGGAAGAATATCTACGAAGAGGTAATGCTCTATAGTCTTGCTGTCATGTGGATGTCATGAAGTTCTCCTTGTGAATGCAGGGTGATTGATTGCTGATTTGGGAAATGACATCACAGCACCATGGTCACACCCAAAGATGCTCCGTCGCCTGCACTCGATGTCTTAATTCTTTCAGTACCAGCCTAAATTATTTTAATTCCTTATATTCTGAGAATGTTGGAATGTCACTGAACAAATTAAGAAGAATTAGGAAGCAGCAGAGATGTGGTTTCTGAGACGAATGTTACGAATACCTTGGAGGGCTAGAGTAACTAACAAAGATTGCTTGAAAGAGGCTAATGAAAGTAGATCTCTATGTACAGCAGTAAGAAAGAGACAAACACTGTTCTTTGGCCAGAGAGACATTTGAGAACATCGTGACAACTGGAAAGATCAGTGGAAAAAGGGGTAGAGGCAGACCAAGAGAGATGATGCTGGATGGGCTAAAACGATGGCATGGAGGGATATCATCAAGAGAGCTGTTTCAGGCAACCAGGGATCGTCATCTGTGGAGACGCATGAGCGCCTACACCAGTTGGCGGGGCACCTGATGTTGATGATATCCTGAGAAGGTATTATCCAAAGGAGAAATAATAAAGCTGTGGGCGGAAGGAATAAAACTAATGATTCAGATTAATGAATAATGTAAAGTCTTGGTCTTTCGTCTTTCCTCTTGAGCTTAGTGTGGTTCATAGGGCAGAGGTCATAGCTCTACATGTCTGGCGGTTTGTTGCCACCTGTTTTAGGTCTTGGATAGTCATTAGGCCCAGGGCTTAGCCTTCTTGGATGATGGTTCTTCACAGGGTCTCTCTTGGTCTTCCCCGTTTTCTTTTCCCTTCCGATGTCCGTATGAGGGCTTGATGGGGGTTGGGGGGGGGGGGGGGGGGTCTGGTCTTATCCATTCTGAGTGCATGGCCTTTGTAGTTCCGATGGCACATTCTTATAAAATATTATACATTATCTTGCTGCGTTTCTTGTCTAATTTGCATATTTGATCTGAAATCTGTCCAGTGGAAATTACTTAACTTCCAAGACATCTGCTCTTAAAATTGCCTAATTTTTATTTATCAAGAGCTAATGTTGCTTTCCAACTCCTGCATCCATAAGTTAGCACTAGAATCACACAAGAGTTGAAGCTCGTGAGTTTTGTGTGCTTGCTGAATGTCTTTAACATCCAGATGTTTGACAGATTGATAAAGGCACTAGATCAGTGGCTCTCAACATTCCTAATGCCGCGACCCTTTAAAACAGTTCCCTCATGTCGTGGCGGCCCCCAAACATTTTATTTCCGACATAACTTCAATGAATATGTGTTTTCCAATGGTTTTAGGCGACCCATGTGAAAGGGTCAATTAGCCCCCCAAAAAAGGGTTGCAACCAGCAGGTAGAGAACTGCTTCACTAGATGCCAGTGCGATTCTAGATGACATTTTAGGCGTTGCATGTCCAGTATATGTTATCTTACTCCCTAGTATAGGTATAATATAAATAGTAATGTATAGACAATGTATTAACTTTTTGAGTCCCAGGGGGTTTAGCATCAGAGGCCCAAGGGGTGGTAATGCAATTTTTTAATTTCACAAATGTAACACATGAAAACAGACCATACTAATTCACTTGCCATGTAACATACACATATTATACATCAAAATGACCAGGGATTGTTGAGGAATGATTATAGAATACAGCTACAACAAATAATTGCGTTAGTAATTAAATATTAGTAAATAAACAGACGGTATGTTTACAAAAATTAGTAAAATGAAATTTTAAAAATCTCCACTTACCACCATGGCACTCAAGGAAAACTGGTTAAAATATATTCAAAATGAATCACAAATCAATATGAACCACTTAGTAATGTATTAGTAAAATATAAACTCAATCTATACATTAGATTTTGTTCCAAAGAATCTTTTGAAGCATCATAACAGAGCACAGTAAAGAAGACTTGACTCCCAAAACAAAAAAGTATCTTCACACAAAATGAAGTTTAGATAACACTCAATTTTCCTGTAATTTTGTAGCTATGTTCCTAAATAATAAGAGTAATAGCACTAGAACTAACTGACACTGAAGAAAATTGTATTATCACTAAAGTTTATTCTGTTTGTGCCAGCTGACTTTGCTATCGTTGTACTCTTCGCGTGAGGTACACATTAGACATATCCCTCATCAAAGTTTGACTCTACAAATGACTGAAACACATCTAATTCGCAACGTTATCTATTTAACTGCGGATAAATTGAATAAACACGTACTTTATTTAAATTTGAGGCTTCGAAAGCCATAAATCATGTTGGCATGCATGTAGAACACTGCTTGGTGGCCATATTCTTTTCAAACAAACACTTAGTAACTCGGCAAATCTCGCTAATATACAATTTTTTCGGCTTTCAAACCAGGTTTCTATATGAGCACGCCTGATATCAGACACAAAGAACTCAAAAGGAAGTTGAAATTATGCGGTCCGTGTTTTCTAACCATTCAGTGGTAGATTAAAAACCTTCACTTGTCACGCGCCGATTGGGCCACACGGTTGTAACAATTTAGCGCCTTAATGCGTTTCCTGGGACTCAAAGAGTTAAAGGAGAATCAGGAATATGCAATGTCTTTGGACTAACTAATGAATGTCTGATTAGTTGCATAGTAGATAAACCTACTACTACCCAGCAAGCATGTTACAAAAGGCAATCAGTTAGGAGTTTGCTGAAAGTAGAAGTGTTGTGGCAAAAAGTGCAACATTTCACAGCTTAATAATTATAAGAAAACTCCACAGGGGAGCATACACAGCAGGAGTCTGCCGGTCATCAGTAGAAGATCCTCCGTCGACATTAGTTTCAGCCCCTTACCATCGGTGTTGTTGTTATCGATCCAGCGGCGCACAAGCTTTTCCACTTTGGCCCAGGGCCATGTAGTGGAATTTGATTGTTTTCACAAGCTGTTCTTTTCCTCTGTACAATTTGTTCCACTTGGTTTAGATGTCCACTGAGTGTAGTATGTTGTCTTCTAAGTCTGAAGATGGTGGCCTGGTCCTTTCTTGTTAGATGGTTATCAGTGTAAACCACAGTAAAGGTGGCGTGCAGGAGAAGAAGAAGAAGAATCGAATTCTAATCAGTCTAGCTGATAAACATTTTTACATCTGATAAAGTTAAATCAGCTGCTTTAATTTGGATCTCTGCAAATAAGAGACACTGATATCCTATCTTTTCAAGTGACTTGTTCTTCAGTGCATATCTTAGTCCCCTGAAATGCTTTAACATTGTTGGCTAAAGAAATGTTGTTGTTCTGACTCAACCACATAGAGTGCTAAACTACATCACAAGTTCTCATCAGTTCCTTGGGTCTTGGATCATGACGCTATATTTGCCCAAGTTGATGCCTTCATCAAACGCTGTTGGGATATGCTGGAGGTTGGTTTACTATTTGTGTTTATCACTGTCTTTTTACTGATCTGTTTGTATGTCCAGTGCCCACCCATCTGGATGCCTTATTGTCTGTCTGTTTATTTAACTGCCTGCCTTCCCATCTGTCTGCCTGCCTTCCCATCTGACTGCCTGTGCCATCTCTGCACGTCTGTCTGATTGGTTTTGTTTATATGCTTGTCCTTATAAAACCCCTTAGTAATGTAACTGAAGGAAAAGAAGAAGAAGAAGAATATTTGTCTGGTGCCTGTCTGCTTGTCCGTCTTTCGCTTGCATATCTGCCTACCTGCATATCTATCTGCATGGCTGTCTGTTTGACGTTATTAAAATACATTGATCATTTTTATGCAGTTAGAATAACTATGCTAAAGAATGAAAGATTCTTTTTGGTTTTCTTTGTTTACCTAGGTTTGTGGGGCTCAAAGTCACTTTGCTAGGCAGGAGGAGGGTAATGTAGGAGAAATGCCTCAGTTTGCAGGGCATAAATGGAATGAGATCATTCGTGACCTTAATGATATAAAAACTCAATTTGAGAAGTGCCATCGTCTGTTACGTGCCCACAGGAAATATGCTCTAGATGTGATGCAGTCTTTCTGGCATGAAGCATACCGCAGGTAAGTGTCTTGTAGAAAAGACCATTTGATGACAAGATATTTCACTATACTTCTTCTTCTGTTAATGTTTTATCGAAAAGATCAATTGATGACAAGATATATCACTGTACTTATTCTTTTTTCTTTAGTCAATGTTTAGTAGAAACGATCAATTGATGACAAGACACTACACTTTTTCTTGTTTTCTTCTTCTTCATCTTCTTTTTCTTCATCTTCTTTTTCATCATCTTCTTCTTCTTCTCCTCCTCCTTCTTCTTTATCTTCATAATTTTTTTTTCCAGATTCTTCTTTTTCTGCTTTAACCCTAAAATGGAGTGGTTGGCACATTGTGTTATGATTCAGCTAGGTTGCATTAAGTGCAGATTTTAGGCCAACACATCCAGTGTCAGAGAGTTCCTAATTAGTCACCTTTTATGACATGCTTATTAGAAGGCAGTCAGATCTGATCTGTCTTTCACCAAAAAGGGGTCCCAGAACCCCCAGTAGGTCCTACTTGACTATTCTTCTTATAGTCAATGCTGTGTGGCATTTGTAATCTTTTTGCTCAGTAGCCATGGTCTAATTTGTATCCAAAAGAAATATGCTGTGTATGTGAAGAATTCGTCATAACATAAAAATTTTTACCCCAGCTAGTAACAAATGAGTCTCCCAGCTATTAGTAAATATGACCCCAGCTAGCAGTAAATGTGACTAGAAGTAAATGTGATCCCAGCTAGAAGTAAATGTGACCCCAGCTAGTAGTAAATGTGACCCCACCTAATAGTAAATGTGACCTCAGTTAGTAGTAAATGTGATCCCATCTAGAAATAAATGTGACCTCAGCTAGTAGTAAATGTGACCCCAGCTAGTAGTAAATGTGACCTCAGCTAGTAGTAAATGTGACCCCAGCTAGTAGTAAATGTGACCCCAGCTTGTAGTAAATGTGACCCCAGCTTGTAGTAAATGTGACCCCAGCTAGTAGTAAATGTGACCGCAGTTAGTAGTAAATGTGACCCCAGCTAGTAGTAAATGTGACCCCAGCTAGAAGTAAATGTGACCCCAGCTAGTAGTAAATGTGACCCCAGCTAGTAGTAAATGTGACCCCAGCTAGTAGTAAATGTGACCCCAGCTAGTAGTAAGTGTGACCCCAGCCAGTAGTAAGTGTGACCCCAGCTAGTAGTAAGTGTGACCCCAGCTAGTAGTAAGTGTGACCCCAGCTAGTAGTAAGTGTGACCCCAGCTAGTAGTAAGTGTGACCCCAGCTAGTAGTAAGCGTGACCCCAGCTAGTAGTAAATGTGACCCCAGCTAGTAGTTAGTGACCCCAGCTAGTAGTAAATGTGACTCCAGCTAGAAGTAAATGTGACCCCTAGCTAGTAGTAAGTGTGACCCCAGCTAGTAGTAAATGTGACCCTAGCTAGTAGTAAGTGTGACCCCAGCTAGTAGTAAATGACTTACAGTTTGTAGAAAAGACTAACATATAAGATATTTTTTCCAGCTTCCCTGGAAAGTAGGTCTTACTTGATCAGTTCTTCTTAAAGCCTGTTCCATGTCGCTTTGGTAATCATGTCTGACGACAGCCTCCTGTCTCATCTGCTGTCAGTCATTTGTGATACATATGTTCTATGCCATGAAACTGTCCAGCATCTTCACTTCAGGTCTTCATCTGCCTCTTTTCTCTGCGCTGTATCTGTACTGCTTTCAGTACCACTGTTTTGAACAGTATGACAAGAGTTGATCAGGTGAGGCTTTAGATGATGGAAGTTACAATACAAAATGTGAGCCTTCAGAGGGTGGAAGGAGTTGCCGTGGCGGGGCAGCAAGATGCTCACCGTGGATCGGAGGTTGTGGGTTCACTTCCTGGCGGAGCTGGACTTTTTTCAAAAAGACCTTGGCTCCCAGGTCAGCCCAGCCTTAAGTGGGTACCAGAATTAGTCCCGCGAAGTAAAGGCAGCCGGCGTGATGCTGACCACATAACGCATCTTGTGCCGATTGGTCTATGAAATATAGGTCTAGCCCTATATGCCTTATACGCCGAAAGGTGTGGAAAAGGGTACTTTACTTACTTCAGATGGTGGAAGCTAGTTAAAAATGTGAGCCTTTAGATAATGGAAGGTACAATCAAACATGTGAGCCTACAGATGATGGAAGGTTAGAGTCAAATATGTGAGCTTACAGGAAATGGAAGGTACAATCATATGTGTGAGCTTACAGGTGATGGAAGGTACAATCAGATATGTGAGCCTACAGATGATGGAAGGTACAATCAAATATGTGAGCTTACAGGTGATGGAAGGTACAATCAAATATGTGAGCCTACAGATGATGGAAGGTTAGAGTCAATATGTGAACCTTCAGGTGATGGAAGTTACAGTAAAAATATGTTAGCCTTCAGATGATAGAAGTTACTGTCAAATATGTGAGTCTTTAGATGATGGAAGTTACATTCAGAAATGTGAGCCTTCAGGTGATGGAAGTTGCATTCAGATATGTGAGCCTTTAGACAATCCAAGTTAACAGTCAGATATGTGGGTCTTGAGACAATCCAGGTTAACAGTCAGATATGTGAGCCTTTAGACAATCCAAGTTAACAGTCAGATATGTGGGCCTTTAGACAATCCAAGTTAACAGTCAGATATGTGGACCTTTAGACAATCCAGGTTAACAGTCAGATATGTGAGCCTTTAGACAATTCAAGTTAACAGTCAGAAATGTGAGCCTTTAGACAATCCAAGTTAACAGTCAGATATGTGGGCCTTTAGACAATCCAGGTTAACAATCAGATATGTGAGCCTTTAGACAATTCAAGTTAACAGTCAGATATGTGAGCCTTTAGACAATCCAAGTTAACAGTCAGATATGTGGGCCTTTAGACAATCCATGTTAACAGTCAGATATGTGGGCCTTCAGGTAATGGAAGTTAACATTCAGATATGTGAGCCTTTAGACAATCCAAGTTAACAGTCAGATATGTGGGCCTTTAGACAATCCAAGTTAACAGTCAGATATGTGAGCCTTTAGACAATCCAAGTTAACAGTCAGATATGTAGGCCTTTAGACAATCCAGGTTAACAGTCAGATATGTGAGCCTTTAGACATTCCAAGTTAACAGTCAGATATGTGAGCCTTTAGACAATCCAGGTTAACAGTCAGATATGTGAGCCTTTAGACAATCCAAGTTAGCAGTCAGATATGTGTGCCTTTAGACAATCCAAGTTAACAGTCAGATATGTGAGCCTTTAGACAATCCAAGTTAACAGTCAGATATGTGGGCCTTTAGACAATCCAAGTTAACAGTCAGATATGTGAGCCTTTAGACAATTCAAGTTAACAGTCAGATATGTGAGCCTTTAGACAATTCAAGTTAACAGTCAGATATGTGGGCCTTTAGACAATCCAGGTTAACAGTCAGATATGTGGGCCTTTAGACAATCCAGGTTAACAGTCAGATATGTGGGCCTTTAGACAATCCAAGTTAACAGTCAGATATGTGGGCCTTTAGACTATCCAGGTTAACAGTCAGATATGTGGGCCTTTAGACAATCCAGGTTAACAGCCAGATATGTGAGCCTTTAGACAATTCAAGTTAACAGTCAGATTTGTGAGCCTTTAGACAATCCAAGTTAACAGTCAGATATGTGGGCCTTTAGACAATCCAGGTTAACAGTCAGATATGTGGGCCTTCAGATGATGGAAGTTACAGTCAAATTGTGAGCCTTCAGATGATGTTTTCTGGTGGTACACTCAGATACATAGTAAAGAAATTAGTTCCCTTGCAAAACCAACCCCTAACATTTGACTGTTGTGGTGTTTCTAGGCTAATTTGTATTCAGCATTTTGCTATTGCTTTCTGAATGGTTGGCTTTTACATACCACTGTCATAACCAGTGCAGTACGGTTTGCTGCCAAATCACCTGCAGCTGGAATCTGACCCGGAACCCATCATTATGAAATAAGTTGGCAACACCTAAGAATATAAGGTATCCAGTAAGGCACATTTTCTTGGCAAAAAGTTTTGTATCTAAAAACATTTTGGAATGAGTATCGCCACTTTTTTATAGAAGAAATGTTGACAAACAACTCATACAACAATCCGTAAATTTGCTGTTCTTTCAGGACCACATTTTTTCTGGGTTTTGGACAGCATTCATTTTGATAAAAAAAAATTTTTAACTGCAACACGACAAAGCCAAAACATTTCTGAAGAAAAAGTATTGGTTGTATCGGTACATATCAAATTAAAGATAAATGAGTGCCGAATAATTCTAAACTATTTTAATGTTAGTAATACAACAGAATATTATTAAAATCACACAACATTCAAGGATGTTAGACACATATGAAGATTATTGACATAACAAATTGTGTGCTTACCTTACTTTTTTACTTGTTCAGCAAAACTGCTATCCAATTCTAAGAGTGCACATGCCTTCTCTGTTCAATTATGTATCAGCTAGTTTTATTTTGAAACAATTAATTTAAATACTTTGGATGTTACAATCATTTTTATATGACATGTAAAATTTCACAGCTGAAAATCGGGAAAACAGCTGATCATTGATCCGATTAAAATATTTTGCTCACTTATCATATCCTGAACTAAATTATCGCCAGTAGGTTTATCACTTAGATGTCAATCGTGATATTAAAACTATAGTCACTATATGGCAGAGATTCATCAACGACAGAGCAGTATGAACAGTTGTAGACCTTTTTCCTTATCATTTAGTATAGAAGAATTACGTACAAATTGTATCCACCTAAAAAAAAAATTTTTAATTCATAAAATAATGCACCGACCACGATGAACTTCGCAAACGATAGGTCTTCTTGTTATTAATCCTAATTTGTCAAAAACTTGTTCATAAAAGTTATTTTTCCCCACAAACAGAACAAAATTAGAGAGTCCCTATCATAAGCCAATATATTGGCTATTTGTCCATTAGGGATAAATTTATTTGATAGTCTTTAAAAAGTTAACGACTGCTAATAAAAACTAAGCAACTTTGTGTTGACCCAGAGGAAAGTATTAATTGTTCATCTCATTGTAGATTCCAGGCAGGAATACGGGACTTGGAAGTGATGATGCAGAATGCGATCATAACTGCATTTAAAACTGTAACAACTGTACAGGGAGGGGTGGAGCTGCTGGAAGTCTTTGTGCATCTTTCTTCAAGGGAGGTATGAAAATATTTGTTCTATTGCCTGCCATCTGCTCCTTATGAGAATATCAACAATGTTGCTGAAGAAGAAGAAGAAAATGACATGAAGCAGTTTTTAAAGGTAGCCAGAAAAAAAAAGGGAAACAATTATGGACAAACATAACATTGATGCCAATTCACATGCACTCATGTCAATGCTGATTTTTGACTTCCTGAGACGGCATGAGATTGTTGTCAGCCCCACCTGTTTCTCTCTAAATTTGACCTCCTACCTTTTTCAATTTCTTTATGTCATTTTCTTCTTCATCCTCCTCCTGCTTGTTGTTGTTGATTCTATCGTTGTCCTCCTCCTCCTCCTCCTCAATTCTTCTTCTTCTTCTTCTGCTGCTGCAGCTGCGGCGGCGGTGTCCTCCTTCTCCTCCTTCTCCTCCTCCTTCTCCTCCTCCTTCTCCTCCTTCTCCTCCTCCTTTCTTCTCTAAACTCTGGTGGTAATTCCAGGCTGTTGTTCTAATTCTGTGAACTTTGGTTCCATTCAAGGACGTGAGTTGTTGCATTTGAATGTTTTGTAGATCTGGCTTATTTGTGTACTGACTGTTGGTTCCTTGCCTCCCGGGCAAATGCACTCCAACTCCAATGAAACCTTGATCCTATCTGTATTGGCCAGGTTTCCAGCTGAGAACCTGTTTTCTGTTATGCCTGTGGAGATGTGTAGATAGGTCTCTCTTTATATGGAGTTCATTACCAGCCCACTACTGTCCATGACCCCGCTATTATTAGACTAAATGTACCACTGGTACACCACATAGTTGTAGTTGGTTGTTTGCTGACTTAGTAGATTTCTTTTTGGACTGCCTCTCACTTCTTCTTCACTTCCTCTTTTTTTTTTTTTTAAACTTCAAGTGTCGAAGGATATAAAAAGCTCTGCTTCTTGCTCTTCTGGCATCCTTGACCATGTTTCTGAGTTTCTGTGATATGTTGTATTGTTATAGACTTTCTTTGACATGTTGTATTGTTATAGAGTTTCTGTGACATGTTGTATTGTTATAGAGTTTCTGTGACATGTTGTATTGTTATAGAGTTTCTGTGACATGTTGTATTGTTATAGAGTTTCTTTGACATGTTGTATTGTTATAGAGTTTCTTTGACATGTTGTATTGTTATAGAGTTTCTTTGACATGTTGTATTGTTATAGAGTTTCTGTGACATGTTGTATTGTTATAGAGTTTCTGTGACATGTTGTATTGTTATAGAGTTTCTGTGACATGTTGTATTGTTATAGAGTTTCTTTGACATGTTGTATTGTTATAGAGTTTCTTTGACATGTTGTATTGTTATAGAGTTTCTTTGACATGTTGTATTGTTATAGAGTTTCTGTGACATGTTGTATTGTTATAGAGTTTCTTTGACATGTTGTATTGTTATAGAGTTTCTGTGACATGTTGTATTGTTATAGAGTTTCTGTGACATGTTGTATTGTTATAGAGTTTCTGTGACATGTTGTATTGTTATAGAGTTTCTGTGACATGTTGTATTTTTATAGAGTTTCTGTGACATGTTGTATTGTTATAGAGTTTCTTTGACATGTTGTATTGTTATAGAGTTTCTGTGACATGTTGTATTGTTATAGAGTTTCTGATGTTATCTTTCCATCTTGTTCTTGTTCTGCCTTGTGTTCTACATCATTCTTCTCTTTTGGTGTATGCCTTGAATGGTATATCATCACAAAGCATCATCTCTAAGTAGGCAGACCATTGTATTTGCTGTCTTTGTCTGTAGTTTAGTATCGAGTCTGTGCTGACGTTTCTCTTATGACTTAATCCTGATTATTTCCCTTCTGGTCACTTTCCCAAAAATCTAATTTCCATGCCTGTTTTCATCAGAAATGTATGTGCAAACAATGCCTGCTAACCTGCAAAAGAACATGTTGATCTGCTGTGTGTGACTAAATTTGTCTTTTGATTAGGTGATTTACAATATCCTTGCAAAGCTGACCACAGAACTGTGTCGGCTGTTTACTGAGGAAATGAATGCTGTGAAGAGAGACATGGCATCCAAAGATGACTACAGGTCCCCATCGTTCCCCAAGTATGCCGGATCTGCACATTTTGCTAGGATGATGAAAAACAGGGTGCAGAAGACAATGAATGTGAGTATTCTAGTTTATAAGGAAAACAAGAACAGACCCACTGCCTACCCAAAAGCATGCCGTAAGAGTTGACTTGTATGGGAGCTTCCTTCGAAGTCGAAATGCATCTTCCTGAGCCGCAAGGAACCAGCAGTCTGCACACATAGGTGTCAGATTTGTAAAAATGATGCATACGCAACATTCAGGTTCTGGAACAGGACTGCAGTCCAGAAGTGGATGAACAACCAGAACTTTCCACCAGAGTTTACAGCTGATGACAGCAAAGAAGAAGAAGTATTCTGGTTCAGCATCTCCAGTCTATTTTGGCAGTTGAAGCCCTTTTTAGAATCAAAGTCTTTGGTGAAACCCCTAGTTTCATTCACATATTTTTTTTCTATGAAGAGGCCACTGAACCCCCTAGGATGTGCACACAGAGCCCTGTGCACTGGTCTAATTTAAATGTGTTCTTGTGGCTAGGATGTTGTCTTCTTTCTTTTATGTTCTTTTCTTTCAATCCTGAAGTAGAGCATAATCGGGAGCCACTGTGATGTAGAGCATAGTCGGGAGCCACTGGGATGTAGAGCATAGTCGGGGGGCCACTGTGATGTAGAGCATAGTCGGGAGCCACTGTGATGTAGAGCATAGTCGGGGAGCCACTGTGATGTAGAGCATAGTCAGGAGCCACTGTGATGTAGAGCATAGTCGGGAGCCACTGTGATGTAGAGCATAGTCAGGAGCCACTGTGATGTAGAGCATAGTCATAGTCGTCGGGGGCCACTGTGATGTAGAGCATAGTCGGGGGCCACTGTGATGTAGAGCATAGTCAGGAGCCACTGTGATGTAGAGCATAGTCGGATGTAGAGCATAGTCAGGAGCCACTGTGATGTAGCAGGAGCACTGTGATGTAGAGCATAGTCAGGAGCCACTGTGATGTAGAGCCACTGTGAGCATGTCAGAGCATAGTAGAGCATAGTCAGGAGCCCACTGTGATGTAGAGCATAGTCAGGAGCCACTGTGATGTAGAGCATAGTCAGGAGCCACTGTGATGTAAAGCATAGTCAGGAGCCACTGTGATGTAGAGCATAGTCAGGAGCCACTGTGATGTAGAGCATAGTCCACTGTAATGTAGAGCCACTGTGATGTAGAGCATAGTCAGGAGCCACTGTGATGTAGAGCATAGTCAGGAGCCACTGTGATGTAGAGCATAGTCAGGAGCCACTGTGATGTGATGTAGAGCATAGTCGGGTGCCACTGTGATGTAGAGCATAGTCGGGTGCCACTGTGATGTAGAGCATAGTCTGGAGCCACTGTGATGTAGAGCATAGTCAGAGAGCCACTGTTATGTAGAGCATAGTCAGGAGCCACTGTGATGTAGAGCATAGTCGGGGGCCACTGTGATGTAGAGCATAGTCGGGGGGCCACTGTGATGTAGAGCATAGTCAGGAGCCACTGTGATGTAGAGCATAGTCAGGAGCCACTGTGATGTAGAGCATAGTCAGGAGCCACTGTGATGTAGAGCATAGTCGGGGGGCTACTGTGATGTAGAGCATAGTCGGGTGCCACTGTGATGTAGAGCATAGTCGGGTGCCACTGTGATGTAGAGCATAGTCTGGAGCCACTGTGATGTAGAGCATAGTCAGGAGCCACTGTGATGTAGAGCATAGTCGGGAGCCACTGTGATGTAGAGCATAGTCAGGTGCCACTGTGAAGTAGAGCATAGTCAGGAGCCACTGTGATGTAGAGCATAGTCAGGAACCACTGTGATGTAGAGCATAGTCAGGAGCCACTGTGATGTAGAGCATAGTCGGGGGGCCACTGTGATGTAGAGCATAGTCGGGGGGCCACTGTGATGTAGAGCATAGTCAGGAGCTACTGTGATGTAGAGCATAGTCAGGAGCCACTGTGATGTAGAGCATAGTCAGGAGCCACTGTGATGTAGAGCATAGTCGGGAGCCACTGTGATGTAGAGCATAGTCAGGAGCCACTGTGATGTAGAGCATAGTCAGGAGCTACTGTGATGTAGAGCATAGTCAGGAGCCACTGTGATGTAGAGCATAGTCAGGAGCCACTGTGATGTAGAGCATAGTCAGGAGCCACTGTGATGTAGAGCATAGTCAGGAGCCACTGTGATGTAGAGCATAGTCAGGAGCCACTGTGATGTAGAGCATAGTCGGGGGGCCACTGTGATGTAGAGCATAGTCAGGAGCCACTGTGATGTAGAGCATAGTCAGGAGCCACTGTGATGTAAAGCAGTCGGGTCGGGTCAGGAGCCACTGTGATGTAGAGCCATAGTCAGGGCATAGTCAGGACCACTGTGATGTAGAGCATAGTCAGGAGCCACTGTGATGTAGAGCATGTAGAGTCGTCAGGAGCCACTGTGATGTAGAGCATAGTCGGGGGGCCACTGTGATGTAGAGCATAGTCGGGGGGCCACTGTGATGTAGAGCATAGTCTGGGATGTAGCCATAGTCTGTGATGTGATGTAGAGCATAGTCCACTGTGGTCGGAGCCACTGTGATGTAGAGCATAGTCTGGGGGCCACTGTGATGTAGAGCATAGTCGGGTGCCACTGTGATGTAGAGCATAGTCAGGAGCCACTGTGATGTAGAGCATAGTCGGGGGGCCACTGTGATGTAGAGCATAGTCGGGTGCCACTGTGATGTAGAGCATAGTCGGGTGCCACTGTGATGTAGAGCATAGTCGGGTGCCACTGTGATGTAGAGCATAGTCGGGGGGCCACTGTGATGTAGAGCATAGTCAGGAGCCACTGTGAAGTAGAGCATAGTCAGGAGCCACTGTGAAGTAGAGCATAGTCAGGAGCCACTGTGATGTAGCAGCTGGACGCTCACCATATGATTTGAAGATCGTGGGCTCAAGTCTTGACAGAGCCAGACTTTTATTTTTTCAGGAATGACCTTCCCTGCCAGGTTGACCTAGCCTTAAATGGCTACGAGCCAAAGTCATGGAAAGTAAAGGTGGCCGACATGATGTTGACCACATTACTCACCAAGTGCTGATTGGTCTGTAAAATATAGGTCTAGCCCTATATGCCCACTATGCCTAAAGGCATAGAAAAGGTCCTTTACGTTTTTACTTTTAAAGCATGACTTCTCAGCTAACTTAATCCAAGCTTTCCTATCTTTTAATATCTCCTTCAACTTCCTCTATATCCTCTCTGTATTTTAAATCACCGTAATTCTCTTTCCTGTGTGGTTTTAGCTATCTATCAATTTCTTTTGCCCAATGAGTTCCACAGAAACAACTTTATAATGTTAATTGATTTTCTGGATTTATGTCCTATCCCATGCCAGTATCTTATACTCACCTCTTGGCTAGTTGGAATGTGTTGTTCTCTCTCCATAAGCCACACATTAGTGAAATTGTCAAACCATTTTGTTCTTTCACTTCTGCACAGGCACCATTTAATTACCATATATAGTACATTATTAATTAATTTAGTCATTATCCAAGCTACTGTTTCATAAAACAGAAGAGAAAGAGGATAGAATTTAAGGCTGGTACTAATTTTAATTTATTTTAAATTCACAAAATTCTTTGAGCTCTTACATATTGTACATTTGTATATTTTCTAATTTTCATCCACATTGGCCACTTTGTTAAGTGTATGATTCCCATTATAAAGGGAGATTTCACCTAGGGATTTATTGTGTCATTTGTTTCATTAATTTACATTAACGCTTTTGTCTTTTTGGCCTCAGATTACTGTAACCTTTTGCATGAAGTGGGTTAAAATTAACTCATTTTTGTATTTCTTGAGTGAGACAAAAGGAGTGTGCAATTATTGATGTCTGGATAATTTAGCATCAGAGTCCACTGAATTCCATTCACAATTATTTCTCACTGATCATTTAATATTGTTAATCAGTTGCCTCTCATCATGTCATATTGTTACCTCAGTTGTCTCTCATCATATAATGTTATTACATTAGTGTTTCTTGCTGTTATATCAGTTGTTTTGTCATTTGTTATTGTAAATCTTTTTGTGTGCAATTTATGTTCCTCTTCCCCAGCTACACTTACTTTTCATACTAGCTCTCTGGTTTCTGCATTGTCACTCTTTCACATTTCCAAAATAAAACTAAACTAATTTGCTGTAAGCTTACGGTTCTGCACAAAATTACTTTTGTGGTATCTGAAAAGAAAGAAATAGATTCTAGAAAATGCTATGCTGGTTTTTGTCAGAATGTTTTATGAAGTGGGTGCACATTTCATCCTGATCAACCTGTTCTGCCATTTGTATAACTCATAAGACTTGCAGTCATTTCCTCCCTCTTTGTCCTCTTCTACTTCCTCATAAACCCTGAAAAAGATAGGTTGGCACCATTATGTTGTGGTTGACAGCTAGGCTATGACATCTGCACATCTCATCTGCACATCTTCACCTCTCCACCCAACACATGCAGTTTCAGTAGATCCTTTGTTAGTTGCTTTTTATGACATGGTTATTAAGGAGCAGTTGGTCCGTCTCTTCCTCCCCCATAAAAACAGCAAGGGACCCACACTGGGAGTTTCCGGTGCTTTCATTTCAGTGTGTAAGGAAGTCAGTCCATCATTTCTGGTCTCTCTCATCAATGTTCATCAAAGGGTTTCTCATGAAATTTCTCAGTCTGTTTGTTTCCCATTTCAGCATCTGTTTTGTGATTCTTTGTCAGATAAATTACCAGATATATACATGTAATGGGTTCTTTATTAATATCCCACTCCAGATGACGCCACAGGACAGTCCAACATTTTAGAGGGTGGTAAGACTGGGTTTCCCAGCTTTTTGATGCTTTTAACGACCACAAAACTAGAACTGGACCTAACCCCAACCCACCTACGTCCCTGAGAGAGTGCAGCCTAGGTCCCACGACTGCATACAGCCTATCTACCACCCCCTGAAATATTAGACTGTACGGTGACCTGTGGATTTTCCCTGTTTTAGATAGGATATTAATAAAGCACCATTAATTGTATTAAAATTTGTATTAAAATTACATTGATAGATTCTAGAGCGGTCCTACTTCCTACCAAAGACAGGAATAAAAGATGATGTGAGGACACAGTTCAAAGCTCTAATGTTAGCCATAGATGAATACATCCAGAAGACTTATGCAGAATGGAAAGCCTTGTCCATCAAGGTTGGTTTGTTTCTGTATACTTATTATCTTCTTCTTCTTCGCCTTCACTGGCTGTAAACTCCGGCGGAAAGTTTTGGTTGTTTGTCCACTTCTAGACCTGCCTGCACATCTATTTAACGGATCTGGCTTATTTGTATGCAGACTGTAGGTTTCTTGTCTCTCAGGCGGATGCACGCTGACTTCAAAAGAATGAAAAATAGGTCAAGAAAGTACCTAGAATACCTGAGTCTGTCTTGAAGAGGTGGCAGGTGATTACTGCCAACAAGGTCAAGACCCTGAAGGAAGCAGTAGCCTACAAAAGGAAACAAGCAGCCATGAAGAAAGTACTGTTCAGGTGAGATGAACCCCAATGAATGTTTGGGCAATGCATTATGGAGCGATTCAGTAAATTCTAAGCCACAGAGCCCCAATAGTTAGAGTAACCCCTTCTTAGAATGTAACAAGTTACGATAACACCTGTTTGATACTGAAAGAATTGGGCAAAATACACAATAAAATAATCATCATGTCATCATCATATAGGAGGTCTTTTGCAGAACGTCACTCTCATCACAGTCTGCCTAAAAGGAACTTGTCTCTCACCAGTTCTCCCACTTATATCCTGTGCTCATCTTTGTGTTGGTCGGCCCTTTCCCCTCCTTCCTGGTACAATGCCTTCTGCTGTTATTTTCTCCAGTCCCGCCATGGCGCTTAATATGACCTAAATATTTCAGCTTCCGAGACAAGTTGCTGTTGATTAACCAGTCTTCTGTGATGTTCAGATCTTCAGACGTTCATCTTGGTGTAACCTGCTGATAAGCATGGGGAGTCATATTTTGCCATCCCACACAATCAAAAGAATCATGGAGCAAGTAAACACTCTTGTTTCGCCCCATTCACATAACCAAGCCATCCAAGTATTTACCACTTTGCCCCAATTCTTTCATCAGTCTTGCCAGTCACGGGCATGTGTGCGTGCATGCGAGAGAGAGAGAGAGAGAGAGAGAGAGAGGAGAGAGAGAGAGAGAGAGAGAGAGAGAGAGTAAGTGAGAGGAAGAGAGAGTGTTTGTGTGTGTATAAATGAATGTATGTATGAATGTATGTATGCATGTATGTCGGTGTGTGTAGGTAGGTGTGAAAGTAGTGAGTGAATGTGTCCATGCATTTTATCACCCATGCTTTTGTATTCTTTCTTGGTATTCCTAATATGCATATTATTATACAATCATAATATGCTTTATTGATAAAATACAACTGCTGTTTAAAAAGTGACTGTTTAAAAAGTGACTGTTTAAAAAGTGACTGTTTAAAAAGGCCTAATGTAAGATGGGTCGGCATGCCCAATTTGTAACCCTGTTAAAATAAAGTTTGTTCGTTTATTCACTAAGTTCTTCTCCATTTCTTCTGGTAATATTGACTCTCTTGGCTCTAATCACCTGCAGCCTTCACAGACACACCGACAGTTAGGCCTCAGACCCCACATATGATAGTGATAAATCATTACGTCTGTAATTCGCCAACTGTGCATTTGATTGCTTAATTTGTCTTTGTTGTCTTTAAATAAAGGAACCTCTGAAACTATTAGATGTTCCACTGATGTACCGTATGCCGACACGAATACCAAAGATTGACATCAACTTCAGCGGGTTGGTATTCTTGATTAAAGACTTGAATGTGAAATATGTTGGTCTATGATAATAATTGTTGATAATATAGATGGTCCTCTTTTGCTTTTAACCCCCCCTGGTGTAGTTTAGGAATACAACTATCGCGTTCACTGGATGTAAACTTTGGCGGAAAGTTTTGCTTGTTCATCCACATCTGGACTCAAGTCTTGCTCTAGAACTTGAGTTTTGTGTGCACATCAGTTTTACAGATCTGGCTGCTGGTTTCTTGCTTCAAGGTCTACCGAGCCTTAAATGGGGACCAGGTTAAGTCCTGGAAAGTAAGCATGGCCAGTGAGATGTTAACCACATCACACACTAAGTGCTGATTGGTCTATAAAATATAGATCTAGCCCTATATGCCCAATAAACCTGAAAGCATGAAAAAGGGTCCTTTACTTTCACTTAAAAGGTGAACAGATGAACATTTTGGGGCTTTTGAATTTACATGTTACAAGAGGATTCTAAGAATACTGTGGAGCAAGAAAAGTATAGAAATTGTTCAGGATCTGAACATTGACCGGGACCGGTTCTTAGACAGAACTGTTTCTTAGAAATTGAAATGCTTTACCCCTGGTAATCACCATATTCCTTTAGAAAGAATGGTTGTGCAGGGTATAGCTGTGGCAAGTGGAGGCAGGGGTTATCCGGAATGATGGTGGACACAGCGGGATGGCAGAATTTCAGGGTGGGATCTGAAATCCTTATAAACTACCTCATATGCTTGGAGACGTACCTGCCAAGCGGGTCGGGGCGCAATAACCCCTTTCTCTGGGTAGGTGGAACCCGTTAGCTTTGGACAGCAGTCCACCTAGGAGATGGCAAACTCCGAATATAAACTCCCAAGTTCAAGGTGGGCCAAAGTGGTGAGGAACTGGATGGTCACTTATGAGCTGGTTGTGAACTTTGGACGTCTGGCGGGCGTGCGGGACGGCACCAGGCGTATGGACTCCTACGGGACATCCACTGCCCCTTCCCTAGCAGACAGGCAATACTAGGGTGACCGGTGATTACCTGCAGTACTCTTTTTTTTCGTATATGGATTTTTGACACATTTTTCAGCAGTTCGTGAATAGAGAGTGAAGAGGAGATGACGAGGGAATGGGGAGAGAAGAAGGCATAGAAATAGGCATAGAAATAGGAGGGCCGGTGCTTAGAGAACAAGACAAAAAGAGAGATTAGGCTTCACTCACGTAAGAGTAGGATACTGGAACTGCCGAGTGCTAGGCAGAGAGGTCTTGTACTGGAGAGGTTGATTTTTGATTATGATGCCATCATGCTGCAGGAGCTAAATACAGACAGATATCATTGCCGTGGGTACGTCAGTTATATAAACCTTGTTGGAAAGGAGAGACATGGACAAGTTCTAATGGTGAAGGAGGGAATGAAGCATGTGGTGCTTGACTTAAGCCAGTGGAACCACAGTGGAAGAGATTTTCAAGGGATACAGGTGGAAATTGGTGGCTAAAGTTAGAATCTCATATATATGCCACAGTAGACTGTTTTATCAGAAACAAAGGTGCTGTCTCAAGGAATTGGAGGAGTTACCAGGTGATAGGTTACTCATATTTGGGGATTTCAATGCGAGGAACAGAGAATGGGACAGCAGAAAACCGACAGGGAATTGCTCTTGTAGAGGCCATGGTCGACTCCGATATGGTCTGCATCAGCGATGCGAGGCCGACTAGAATGGCAATGAGGTCTGGCAATGCAGACACAGCCATTGACTTGACATTTGTCTCCCAGTCGTGGTTTTAAATGTAAAATGGACTGTCCTAAATGACCATAGGAGTTATCACCTACCATGTTCAGTTCTGATTTCTAAAACCAGTAAGGTTAAGGCTGGGAGAGCATGCAAGACCTTCCAGTATAAAGGGACAACAACCCACTTGGATGCCTCATACAGGGAGCATGCAACAGAACTGCCAGAACTAATTTTCTACAGCTCAGAAGTAGAAAAGGTGTAGAAGGCAAAGAATGCCGCAGTGAAGCAGCTAAAGAAAGTACGACAGACACCCTTAAGCCCACGAGAGGAAGTGGGGATGGCGGAGAATGGGAAAAAAGATAAGGTGGAGGTTTTCAAGCACTGTACTGCAGAGGCCAAAAGAGCAAAGTGTGAAACTTTTGTTAATGATAGGCAATAAAACATTGCGACAATTCTAGAAGCTGCAAAGAAAAGATCGACCTATGACAGTGGGAACAATTTGTAGAGATGATGGTGTGTGTATGACAACAGACTAGGAAAAAGGGGAGGCTTTTCTCCATAGGTTTATAGCTCAGACAGATCACAATGATGTAGACATCAGGAATGCAGTTAGAAAGGAGTTAGATGGCACCTTAAAGAGTAAGTATGCATTATAAAGACATGATCCTAGTTGAAGATTTTAAACAAATTTTGAAAAAGGCAAAAGACACTGCACCAGGGCCTGATGGGGTCAGGTATGCCACATGAAGGCTTTGAGTGATGTAGACCTGGCAGAGATGGCTGACTGTTTTAACCAGAGCTTTAAGACAGCATCATTACCGCAGGACTGGGTGCACAGCTATCTAATCCCACTACCAAAACCTTTTAAGGATCATTCAAAACTCAGTGGCTTTAGAATCATCACCTTACAAAACACATTTGGGAAGGTCTTGGAGAAGACAGTAGCTGTAAACTGCAAAAATTTTTGGAAAGTGGGAAGCTTCTCCCAAGAGGTCTGGGAAGTTACAGGCCAGGAAAGGACACTTGGGCAAATGCGGCCACTTTTGCTTTTGACATCTATAAAGGCTTCCAGAACAGACAGGAAACTATGGCGGTAGGACAAGATCTCGAGGATCCTTATAACAGAGTAAGATACGACATCTTGAAGGAGAAGGAGGTCAGTCCATGGCTGGTGAATTGGGTAGCAGCTGTCCTGTATTCACGATGGGTTGCTCTCCGACTGGGCTCATGGACCCAAGAACCATGCACTTTGGCCCCAGGACTGCCACAGGGATCCGCTATCTCGCCTGTGCTCTTTATGGTGTATACGAACAAGATTGCAAGCATAGAAGCACCAGGAGTTAGAAGGATACTGACTTTTGCTAATGATATACTTGCATTTAGGCAGGGGGAAGAGAGGGAACAAACAGCCTTGGAGCTACAAGGGACAGTAGACAAAGTGACTGAGCGGTGGACAGAAACGAGGGCTGTCGTCCATCCAGAAAAGGCGTGTGTTTTATGGTGTTCTCTAGACAACAGGATCGTTAAAGCTAATGTCCCAAGTCTCACGATAGATGGTAGAAACGTCAACAGAGTGAGCAAACTGAAGTATCTGGGAATTACATTTGACAGGAGCCTGACCTTTAAGGACCATGTTGAGAGTGTTGTGACGAGATGCCAAAAAAGGACTTAGTGCACTTAAGCTATGTCTGCAATTGAAATAGAGCAGA